GACCTTAAACAAGACCCTACACTTGGTCACTTGTAAATGTGAAGGTCCTGCAAGAATCTTAATGGCTTCCGAAGACCAGTGCGAGTCAAAATTTAGAAAGGAGAGCCAGATAATATAGAGGAGCTGAGTGCATGTGGGCTTACGAGCACACGCACACACACAAGAGCAGGAACAAAATAAAAGTGCTGACTGACCAGGGATGTCTGACAGCATCTGGCTAATGTCTAAGTGAAGGGACAAGCCTGTCAGAGCCTGTGGAGGGTATTATTGGGAATATGTCTTTAATGGACACAAGGGATTATAGGACAGAACAGGGAAGACTACAAGACTAGACAGTGATGACAGAGTGTTGTCTTAAACCTGAGAAAGCCTGCAAGCTCCTTTAGATTTTTATTATAAATAAAATAGATACACAAAACTATTTCTTAACCGTATTTGAAAAGTGAATATGAACAGGCTGAATGAGGGGGGATGTTGCATTGACGTTTGTTATTCAAATCAGAAGTCAAAACAACAGCCAATCAACTTCAGTTATGTCAGAGCCACAAACCCTGAATAACTGCTTGGTATTTGAGGAGGGACATTCTTGGAGAGCATTTCAAAAGAGTAGTTTAGCAACCAAATGCTACACTGTGACTAATGATTAATTCATGGAAATGATTCACAACCAATGAGAGGCACATGAGCTTTCCACAGGTGCAGTTTTTTAATAGGTTTGTTATAGGCTAAGTATGAAGAATGCTTATAGTTTTTATAATCTGGGTTAACATTTTATTACCAGTGTCTTTCATTATTTCCAAATGCAATAATGAAATGCAGCACATACAATAACTGTTTTGCAACCAACAAATATCTGAAACTTAAAACAAATGCTAAAATTGCATTTGCACGGTTTTATTAAAAAGTACATGTATACAATACAGGCTGTTTGCAGCAATACACAATTTTTTTATTATAGCCACATTAACTTTTTCTTTAGCCTTAATCTTTGTTTTAATAATAAGGATAACTGTGGAAACTTTATTGTAAAGCTATTGCAAGTCTGAAAGCCTGATCATCTAGGATTGAATAAAAAAAAACTAAAATAAATTAAAGATTTAGAAAAAAATTTACAAAAAGAAAAGAATGCAATTATCTGATCGGTGGAAATTCTTTTGCGGAGTCATGAATATAAATGCAATTTGCCAGAAAGTTGAATTTAAAAGAAAATATCTTTTAAATAATATTTATTCAATTAAAGACTTAAAAAAACAGTACATAGAATAACTGACACTGAATTACAGAAATTTCTTTTTTTTAAAAATAACAAAAAACAGGACATTTCTGTAATTTAACAATCGTTATTTTACCTCAGCTGCCGGAAAAAAAGTAAAATAATGAATGTTAAAATACAGAAATTTCCTGTAATCGTTTGGAAATACTGGATAGCAATTTGTCTAAAAATGTATTATTGTGTGTTGGGAAATATATAAGATATAAAAACAATGGAAACCTACACTGTAAAACCCAATAAGTTAAGACAATTCAAACAGTTTGAGTTAAAGACTTTATCTCTAGGAGTACTGTAAACTTACTCCGGTTAAGTTGAAGTAATGAGGTATTTAATTACCTCTTTACCTTCAACACGGAGTTCAAACTCTTTTTCAAATGAGTAAAATTAACTTTTAGTAAATTTGAGTTAACTACACTCATTTCATTTGATAAAGATGACAGTGTATGAAAAGTCCTCAATTCACAAAAACACCCTTATGTACTTATATATTGATGTCATGTAAAAAATAAAAACTTCAAAAACAATATTTTAGGGGTGTTACACACATTGACTTCTTTTTCATGTGATTTTACACTGGATATGTAAATTCACTGTATTTTGCTGTTATTTTACGATTTTAACTGTATTTCAGAATAATGTGAAAAAAACATCATATAAAACAGTAAAATTCCATAAAATAAGCATTTTTCATAGCGTATACAACTGGCTAAATTCCCAATGTAAAACAGGTCTCTTTAAAGAATTAGAAATGACTGATAATGAAAGTTCAATTCTCCCACAGAGAACATGAACTGAATCTTATTTCTACACCTCCAGAACTGTTGCACTCATAGAAAATTGTTCTACACCATTATGCCTCAGATTGCTATGATTATGAACATTAACAAATAGGTAAAAGCAACTATATGATGTACATCTTTGCAGCTTTGAGATGGCCAACAATGCTAAAGGTAAAGATATTTACATTATAAACAATAATCAATTCATCTTTATATCTATAACGCTTTTACAATGTAGATTGTGTCAAAGCAGCTTATAAGTTCTAGTAAATTGAAATTGAAACATTCCATCCCATTTTCAGAGTTAAAGCAATTTTGTTCAGTTCAGCGTGGTTTAATTATCACTGCTGAAAGTCCAAACACTAAGGAGCAAATCCATCAATGTGCAGCACCACAAGTCCCAAACCAAGCAAGCCACTTACACAAAACAATTTAGAACTTTACAGAGTTTATGAGCCATATGAAAGCAAATAAAAGCTAAAATGCAAACTGTCCAATCCACAGAATATTCCTGTAAGATCATTAATAAATGTCTCATGTCTGCGGTTTTAATGAGAACAAATGACATTAGCAGTATTGCACTTGTGAAAAGGCCACGTCTCGACATCCCCCATTTCCCTTTATGAATAATCTGTATTATGACAGGATGACAACACGAATGAGAAATATCCTTGTCGCCGGCACCAAAAACAATATCCCTGTCTGCTGAGGAGGACACGGAGCAACCAAATGTCAGGCACTCCACATTCTGTTGTGATGGTAATGAGTTTGACAGGTTAACGCCATGGAGGAATAAATGTCATACACAAGACTACAAAAACTACCTGAATCTGACGTCTCCCACAGTAATGATAAAACGTATTATAGTTCACATAAAAACCAAAACCAAGCTCACAAACATTCCATATACAGTAAAACAAAAGCAGTGTGCACACAAAGCTTGTTATTGTTAGACTGTAGTTTATCATTAACCAGTGGCCCGGAAAGTCATTGCCCCATCTATGGCATTCTTTTTTTTTTTTTTTTTTTTTACATTTAATTTTTTCCTTGTGCTGGTCTGTATAATTTTATCTGATTTTTTAGTTAAAGAACACAGGTAACCTTTGACTATAACCTTCACAAGTTGTTTCAGTTGTTATTCAAAAAGCACAGGCTGGTTTGGGAGGAATAGATCAGTTTCTAGCACAGATTGGCCCTTTTAGAAGAGTATTTGGGTAATTTGGGTTGGTTTCAGTTTGCTGGTATCTGTTGACTTCTATTTTATCAATCAACAAAGACCAAAGTTTAAGCTAAACATCTTTTTAAAACTCGTTGTTTCTACAAAAGGAAGCAAAATTTAGGTTTGGTTTGCTGGTCTCTGTTGACTTCCATTTTATCAAACAACAGAGACTCAAGTTTGAACTAACCCTTTTTTTAAACTCTTTGGTTTAAGAAAAGGAAGCAAAATTTGGTTTGATTTTAGTTTGCTGGTATCTGTTGACTTCCATTTTATCAATCAAAAAGGACTAAAGTTTGAGCCAATCTTCTTTTTAAAGCTCTTCGTTTCTACAAAAGGAAGCAAATATTGGTTTGGGTTTGCTGGTATCTGTTGACTTCCATTTTATCAATCAACAAAGCCTAAAGTTTGAGCCAAACCTCATTTTAAAACTCTTCGTTTCTACAAAAGGAAGCAAAATATGGTTTGATTTTAGTTTGCTGGTATCTGTTGACTTCCATTTTATCAATCAAAAAGGACTAAAGTTTGAGCCAATCCTCTTTTTAAAGCTCTTCGCTTCTACAAAAGGAATCAAATTTTGGTTTTGGTTTGCTGGTATCTGTTGACTTCCATTTTATCAATCAACAAAGCCTAAAGTTTGAGCCAGTCCTCTTTTTAGAATTCTTTATTTCTACAAATGCAAGCAAAACGATTCACCAACAGCACATCCTGGGTGATCATAGTAAATTAGTCTGTTTATTATTTTTATTGTCATCCCTTTTCTCATAGCCAGTCAACACAACCAAGTCAAAAAGTGTAACTACTAAACAAAGTGGCGTTTTTGCAGAAAATCAATATTACCACTGCCAAACATTATTTGCTGATATGCGTCTTCTAATCCAGGGGATCAGTCAATGTCAGGTCATGTATGTAGAGTAGATAATAAGCAACCTCAACCTTAGTTTCAGACATCCAGTCGAGTCGTTTCGAGAAGGGGGGTACGAGTGGAGCATGAACTGGCAGATGGCAGCCCCTCTTGACTGCTTTAAGACGGTTAAGCCTATTGTGTTTAACTGTTAGCAACATTTAAGAAATGTTTTTTAGTAAAGTATTAACTCTGTTAGAGCTAGAAAATGTACGAATTCAGTTAACAATAACAGCATAAGACAAGACATAGCAAAGAGAACACGATATAAACGTATTAGGCTGATGATAACCAAATAAAAATGCTACAAAAACAGTTTACGTAAAGTAACGTTATTACATGTGTGACGGAAAAAATGGCTTCGAGACGCACATCAACTTATATTTATTGTGAAGGTTTAACGTTGAATATAAGCAATAAACAACGTTAACATTTATTTTACAAATGCATTCGTTTAGAATACAAATCTTATATTGTACAGTTTATATCTTATAATAATATGTTGCTCCATTAACTGGAGATATTTAGTTATGATAAGTCTAACTTTAAATATCACTGTTGTTTGATTTTTTAAATCTGATTTTGAAACTAACGACCGTTTTTTCTTTAACGAAAAGCCATAATTTCGAAAAAATTCGACTTCGGACAATTTGGTTGAGGATTAAACTTTTGCCGAAATGGTAAACTTATAAAACTTCGACACTAAACAAACCAATAATATGAACGAAATCGATATAAAGTATTATAATAAAAACTTTTGAGGGGCGGTAGCGCGCGAGCTAACGTTAGTTCGCAATCCTCTGGGAATAAAGGCAAATTAAAACTTACCTGTGAGAAGAATAACATAGGTTACGCAGAGAAAAGACGTCCTCATATCCATTCCTCTGCTTTAAAGCCACAATTTGCTACCCGGTGCGAGTGAAAAAACAACTTTTCCTCGAGACTTGTGCTGTTTCGCGTTCACTCTTCTTTCTCGCGCAGCATCAGAAAGTCCAGCCGCAGCTCGCGCAGGTGGATTGTGTGGCTGGCTGGAATCTGCACACGTGATTTCCGGAGGTATCAGTCGGAAACATTTTGAGGAGTTTCAACGCCCTCTTGCGTACGTGGACAACAACATATATCAATACATGTTGAATACGTATTGCTCTGAAAACATTTAATTTCGTGTAAATGTGTATTTTGTATTTTATTTTTCTCTTTCGGAAAACTATGTGAAATGTAATACCTCTTGTTCTTGTGGCACTGAATTCATTTATGAATGGATCATTAAAAGCACTAAACACTTTTCAAAAACGCATCTTAACATGTTTCTTGAGCTTTTCACCACCAATTATTCCAGCATTCATCTTTAAACAGTCTCTTAAGAATCTCATATATCCACTGTGTCTTTGCGGTGATTCTGGAGCCACTCATTTGATCAATTTCTTCTAAATCCTTCATTTTCATTATATACCCAGATCTGGCACAGTCCCAGTTTAGCGTTTAATAGTGGCATGAATCAGGTATTTTACTAATGCATCCATATATTCACTTTAAGGATTTGAAGATTTTTAGGCCAGACATTACTCAGAGTTATAGAATTTATCTAAATGTGCAATAGCTCATTAAGGACTTTTGTAAATTTTATTTATTCAACTTAACTGGAGGTCCCTGGGTAAAGTTGTGTTTGTTAATTTTTCTAATGAAACATAAATAGTGATGAAAGAGATCATAATAAATGGCTTGCATGTATATTTATTGCGTAATTCATGAAAAAGACAATTTTCTAAATTTGTTCGGGTGCGCAGAGACTGGTAGATTGGTTTGTAACCAAAATCTGCTGAATATAGCCATCTCTCTTTCTTTAACCCTTAATCAGGCCACGGGGTCAGGGTGCCGATAAATGTTCCCTATTTTTATATACAGTTGAAATTAGAATTATTAAACCCTCTTTGATTTTTTTATTTCTTTTTTAAAATATTCCCAAATGATGTTAACCAGAGCAAGGAAATGTTCATAGTATCTGATAATATTTTTTTTCTTCTGGAGAAAGTCTTATTTGCTTTATTTCAGCTAGAATAAAAGCAGTTTTGATTTTTTTATTTATAAAACATTTTTAAGGTCAATATTATTAGCAATGTGTTGGAAAACATCTTTGTACCGTTAAACAGAAAATGGGGGAAAAAAAATAAACAAACCTGGTCGAATAATTTAACCGGTTTAATAATTCTGATTTCAACTGTTCCCTTCATCTCAGTGGTATGAGACTCTCCAACATTAGCATCTATATTAAACGGACACAAAACTGGACTTGATTCAGTTGTTTTGTCTTTCACTACCTCACCAAAAAAAAAAAAAAAAAAAAAACGATGTGGCTAGTAAACACACTCAAAAATGTGTTAAAAACACAAGTGTAGTGCAACAGGTTTATGTTTGTTTGATTTTTTTGTAAACCAACAATGATTTATTGATTGGACAGCGGAGATGCACAGACAGGAAAGTGTGTGGAGCAGAGATAGGGGAAGGATCGGCAAAAGACCTTGAGCCAGGAATCGAACTCTGGTCGCCACACTAACCACTAGGCTATTGGCGCAGACATATATTTACTTTTTATAGAAAATGGCAATAACAAAATCTACAAAAAACACAATAAATCTATAAAATGTTTAGAAATAAACAAACGAATGATACTAAAGCACAACATCAACGTAGACTGTGTGTCACTCAAATATATTAATAAAGTTTTCTAAAGCCTCAAGAAATATAACCTGAAAACAAATGGACGTCTAATGACCCCTGCTGGATAAGTGTGGAAATTGCAATTTTTTCTGGAAGGTCAGATGGTTGTATTGGGTTCCTAATATAAAAAAACAATATCCAGAAACCTTTTATAATAAATTTAGGTCAGAATTTTGATGATTTTTTAAAATAAAAATAAAAATTTTCATATGCCAAATGATGGCGTAGTTGCATGTTTGAGAAGTAAATGAATAACTAAAGAACAAATATCCACACAAACACTGCATAAATGCAAAGTTAAAAAGTGACTGTATAAGTAATAGTTTATAATTTAAAATTTATATTTCCCTATAAAATTTGTAGGGCAACATGATGGCACGTGGGTAGCGCTCTCACCTCACAGCAAGAAGTTTGCTGGTTTGAGCCTCGGCTGGGTCAGTTGGCATTTCTGTGTGGAGTTTGCATGTTCTCCCCGTGTTCGCTTGGATTTCCTTCAGGTGCTCTAGTTTCCCCCACAAATCCAAAAACATGCGGTACAGGTGAATTGGTACGATAAATTTAGTTTACAGGTGAATTGGGTAAACTAAATTGTCAGTAGTGTACGAGTGTGAATGGAAGTGTATGGGTGTTTACCAGTCATGGGTTGCAGCTGGAAAGGCATCCATTGTCTAGAACACAGGTGTCAAACTCAGTTCCAAAAGGGACGCAGCTGTGCACAGTTTAGTTCCAACCCTAATTAAACACACATGATCAAACTAATTGAGTCCTTCAGGCTTGTTTGAAACCTACAGGTAAGCGTGTTGGAGCAGGGTTGGAACTAAAATGTGCAGGGCTTCGGCCCTCCAGAAATTGAGTTTGACACCCCTGGTCTAGAACATATGCTGGATGAGTTGGCGGTTCATTCAGCTGTGGCGACCCCAGATTAAAAAAGGGACTAGGCCGAAAAGAAAATGAATAAATTTGTCTAAATGTTTAGTGTCAGGACGCCAAAGAACCCAACTGATTTTTTTCTGGACCCTTCTAAGGTTAAATACCAGTAAGGAGGACAATTGTGTTATTTTACTGAAGCTTTCAAGTCAATAACTCCGTATTTTAACAGAATATTTTACATTGTTTCCTTAAGTATTCAACATTTTAATTCCCCATCTAGTTAAATGTTTTACAGAAATACGGATTTCAATGTCCCGCTGTGAGGACATCTGCTACATTTTACACAATTTCAGTGCTTAATATAGGTCATTTCGCATACATAAATTTAATTCAAAATATTCTTGGGAATAAACCAGCAGCTAATAATTCTGCCTAAAATTTATAGCATAGAAAAATAAGAGGAAAAGGCTAGTAGTTTTTGGTAGTTTTTTATTGCAAACTAGACCAAAGAAATTTACATATGAACAGTTTTTGTTTTTATAAAGGAAGTATATAAAGCTTTTGCTACTTTAGCAGGGTTAGGGACTCAAAAACAGATATAGAAGCCAGTGTGAACCACTGACAGATCCTAGATTTTGAGTCTCTGGCTGCTGAATGTTTTGTTAGAACAGTTCAAAGCCTTGAGTTCTTTAAAATAGTGAAGAAACACCAAAAGAAGGCAGCATGTGTGATCTAGTTTATCTGGTTTACCTGAAAGTTAAACTCTTGACAATCTGAACCCATCAGAAGAGTTAGTAGAGTTTAAGAATGAAGCACAACTATTTCTCCCAGCATGACCTTAAGTACAAAGCAGCATCAATGTAAAGCTTTCAAACAATTAAATACCTCCAAGAGTTTTCGAATACAGCCTGTTTGGTCATAATGGACTATCATCTCCCTGCCAGTATACCATCGTACGTGCTTAAAGTTTGGCTGCATCTAGCTTCTGAGAAATACAATAGCAATTAATATTTATTAGTTTTGATCAGGATGCTTACTAAATGTCTAACAAAAAAAAAAGAAGAAAATAAGAGTGAGAACTATAGTGTTGGATAAGTTAAAAGCAATTCTGGCTCTTTTTCCGCAGCTAATGCATACTGTTTTATTATATCATAAATTCTGTTGATATATTTTCATATTTCTAAATTACCCCTTCCACCCATATCATAACCTCTACACAGTTTGGCTCAATAATAACATTTATTTTCCCAAATGGTTTACTGTTCTCGTTTTGAAGGTGGCACAAGGTGATCTGGAAGATCAGCTGGCAACTCGTGACCTTCCAGTTTAACCTTGATGAGGTGGTTGGCCAGGGCGAACTCCTCGTCATCCAGGTATCCATCCTTATCCACGTCAGCGAGCTTCCAGATCTTTCCTAGAACATTATTGGGCAGCTTGGACTTAACCATCTCCTTCTTGGCCATGGCACCAGACACCTTCCCATTGACGGGTGACAAAGTGTAGAAGATCTCGTCGTATGTCGGTTTGTCTTTGGCCACTACCCACTCCAGCTCATCAATGCCTTCACCGGCACCTTCTCCGTAGCCGTGCCCGAAGGGGCCATTCATGGTGCCTTCAAAGGCTCCACCTTGGACAGCCTGGCTTGGCATGGAGGCCTCCTCCTGCCGGACGAGGGTCATGAGTTTGGCAATGTCGTTGGCCAGCATGTCTTCCACTGATTCCAAAAGCTTGGGCTTCAATCCTTGAAACTTAGTGAAGTCCTGTCCAGCGAGGACTTCCTAAAAATGAAAACAGTGATGTCTCACAAAGAAGCATGTTTCTTCAAGTCAAATTTAAGACTTTTTAAGATCGTTTCAAGACCAATACGATTAAAATTTTAGACTTATACAGGGCTAAACACTAAGAATTTTTCTAATGGCCCAGTTACTTCTGTAATTAGTCTTTATATTAAAGGACGATCAGGTAGAGGAAGGTGTTGCTTTAGTTTTCTTTGCCTGATTAGGGAATTTATTTAGAGAATTTGCTGTAAAATATCTAACAGCTGATGTGAATTGTATATTTTTGCAATAAAAAATAAATCTAAACGAAAAAAGTTTAAAGATTGATTATTGGTGATTGGGTGTCAGTACAGTTGGGTAGCTTTCCATGGACATAGGAAAACTAAGGCAGTGAATTTAAGACTTTTTAGGGCTTAACATTCTTTTTTAAATTTAAGACATTTAAGACTTGTTAAGATCATGCAGACCGCTTGTGGAATGATTTTTGGAAACTTACCTGCATTTTACTGAGTTTAGGAAAATCACCAGGGGAGATCTGATGTTCTTTTTCAATCTTTGCATAGATTTCACCCAGGTTAGCAATGAGCTCCTTTTTCTTGTTCTCTTTTCCAAA